TAAAAAGTTTTAAGTAACAAGACCGGAAAAAAACAAAACAAACAAATAAATAAATAAGTAAATAAATTCCTCTGGAAAAACTGTCAGATGGCCAAAAGTATGTGGACACCCCCTCCTCATACCTCAGTGTACTTTTGTTCGGGGGGGTTTCTCTCTGTTTCCCCACGGTGTCACAATCACATACACAACTAACATATGGAGGGAATCTTACTGTGTCCACATACTTTTGGCCATTTAGTGCAGTTTGTTGTTGCTATTTTGATTATTGCTGACTGCCTGAAAACCCTCGCCTCGTCTCTTCATACCTGTCGTAAGGAATCGTTGTGTTTTCTCTCTTTTTCTCAGGTTTTACTGCGAGGAAAAGCCAGAGGTCACCAAAGGTCACTAGGGGTCACCGGAGGGTTGCTTTTCTTCTTCTGGGGTTAATTGATGCCAAAGAGTTGAGGTCAAACTGACGCCACGTTACCTCCTCCATCTTTACCTTACGCAGCACAACACGCCGGTCACCGGGGAGTGTGCCGGCCGGCCGGCCGGGCTGGCGGCGGGCATCACAGAGAAGGAAAAAAATGACTTGTTTACTGTGAAACAGTGGAGCGTGACGAAGGGAAAAGGAAGGAGGAGAGTTGATGTGGACGTCCATGTTGGGCCTGTAAATAATCAATCAGAGCTCTGAGCGCCGGCATTAAATCACCAGAGGAAGACGGGAAGCATGAGGGACTGCGGCGGCGCCCGTGAACTCTAAATCTTTGTCACTGGGAGGGTTGAACGTCGGTTGAATGATGATTGATTTACATGCAGGGGAATACTGTGACGCTCTGTGTGTGTGTGTGTGTGTGTGTGTGTGGTTTCTAAACAGGCAGATACGTCCACAATAAATCCAATCACCTTAAGAGAGCGGATGAATTGTGTTTTGAGTCGCATTAAGAGCCGCACACATCGAGATCCCACGCATCAAAAACAAATGTATGCACAATAAAAACCAATAAAGCGTCTGAGGTGGACGGGGTGAGCGCCACATCAAAAAACAACAACAACAAAAAAAAGCAACACAAAGCAGCGGAGCGAAGCGGTCCGACGCGCTCGCCGAAGCCGACTGTTTGCCTAATAAAACCAGATAGTGCGACCCCTCCCTGACCTGTGGGTGGCCCTGTTTTGCTGCCTGTTTAGACTTCGAAGGCGCCGCAGCCCGGTGGCGGCACTTTGATGTTGCCGCTATGATTCTGAAGGGAGGATGTTCACATCACACACACACACACACACACACACACACGTGCACACACACACACTGCAGCTAAACAAACGACAAGTCATTTACTCTCACATTCAGCCGTCGAGACTTTCCTGCAAACCGCGGTGAGATGATTCCACATGTTCCCGCCGAGACCAAGAACATGATGGGGGGGGAGGGAGAGAGAGAGAGAGAGAGAGAGAGAGCACACTTTGATCTTTCATTTGGATGCTTTGACAAATCTATATATAGTAAAATATAGTTAATTTTTTCCGCTTTTATTTACAAGCACCGACTGACGTGACGCTGTTTTTCTCGTTGAAGATTTAGTCGAGAATTCCTGAAAAACCCCGGATCTCTGTTCCCAGGGTTTAACCCTTTGGAACGAGCGGGAAAATGTCTGCAAGACTGAAGGTGAGAAATAAACTCTTACTCTTAATAAACATCCCACTGCACATCTGCTCCAGTGACCTTTAAAAAAATGACATATTCATGGATTAGAAATTCATCCTCCAAAGAGTCGTGATTCACCTCGTCTGCAGTTTGTCAACAGCGCTGGAGACGTCTCTGCTGTAACGGCAGCCTGTGGGGAAAAGGCTGCGCTCACGGCCTCCAGTATAATCCAAATCAATCAAAAATGTTGACATTCATTTATCAAAAATTCATGAAATTAATTTTTTCCTGTCTATAGGAACCAAGTTGTTGAATCCACATTCCTGCTGAGAGGTAAATACTTTAATTTGTATGATATTTGCTGCTGGTAACACACTCTGAAAGTCTTGTGTATCTCTTAAAGAGCAGAGAGATTGTACAACATGAAGCAGCGCTGTGATGTGGCGAGTCGTCAGGATGTTGCTCTGACCGCCAGCTGTGCTTTGCACCTCTGGAATATGGAGAATTTTCTACGAGAATAACAACGGTTTAATAATTGTGCAAATGAATGTGAGTGAACTGAAGGTGTCTGTATCAGCAGGGGGGGGGGGGGGGGGGGGCAGGCCCTCAGGTTGGAAAAGATGTGTGATACTGTAGTTTAAATGTACTCGCTGTCTCTCTTTCACTCACTTGTATTGAATCATGTGAGAAACTTTGAAGTGCGGTCGGTGAAATCGTCTCACACACCGGCTGCTTCTCGCTCCGTCTGGAGACGTCGGGACTCGGTGAGAAACTAAATGACTCGTTAGGGAGATTCCTTTTTTGTTTTTTACAGCGCGCTCTCTCACGGCGCCTCTCCCTTTCATCCGCCCCGTCTCAAGCCGGCGAGCATCACTACAGGTGACATCACACATTACCCTCGGCAGCCGTTTACACGAGGCTCAGAATGAATGAACTTCCAAACCTTTTTACTGGTGCAAATTATCGCCAATAATGTGCGGAGCCTCAGGTTGTAATTAGAGTTTCTCTGCTGTGGAGCAGAGAGGGGGGGGGCGGGAGGTGTTAGTGGACTGAAGCCCGTACAGGTGTCATTAATCCTGCATTCCTGTGTGACTGCGGCGCCACAGGAGGCGGTGCCCCCCCTCCGCCCGCTGATCACAGCTAACGGGTTTAATAAATACTCCTGCTTTTACGCCAACAGCTCGGCCTCACACTGAGGAGGTAAAGAGGTGGGAACTAACGAGAGGCTCGAGCTCGAGAACGCAGCGGGGGGGGGGGGGGGGGGGGGCGTTCAGCAGCCGCCACAAACACAATACACTCCGTCAGCATCGCAGCTGTGGCGTGCTGCTTCTCTTGGCGATCATCAACTCCAACGGATACCGTGTGAAACAGTGTTTTATATGAGAACGAGAATCGTGGCGTTCGTCCAGAATTGTGGACATTTGTGCTTGTGACCTTGATGACCTCTCTGACCTTTCCTCCAGCGCCACCGTGTGGACAAATCTTCCAAATTTAATCTTTTAATTTGTTCCTTAACAACATACAACATCTCCAAAACGAATACGGGCGGATCCTGATTAAATTAACTGTGAATATTCATGTTCCCCAGAGGATGAAGTAAGAAATAAAACTCCCTGAGTGCCACCACCACATGACCGGCCTTCCTTCTACTTTCATACTTCTGTAAAGTATCAGCATCCGAGCGCTGGCCTGCCATGACATTATTTACTGACCAGGTTTCTGCTCCCCAGAGGACGAACCCCCTTTGATTTGACTGACCTGTCCTCTAGCAGCACATTCAGGACAAACATTTTCATCTTGAACAACCTGTAAGGCTCAAAGAAAAGTGATGAGGTTGATTTCCGTGCGTCACACCTGCAGAACCAAACCCTCAGATTTTCACTAAAGAACGATATAAAACTCGGATTGGAGATGAAGATGGAATTTTGAGATGTTTCATATCATTTGCTTGATTTAATAACTCAGAATTGCCCGTTTACTTGATCTATTTCTCTGCTGATAGACTAGCAGTTTCAGTTCTATAATGAAGAATGCAGCCACTAGGGGTCGCTAGCAGGACATTTGCTTTGAAATGTGACACGTGACAAGATAACTCACATGTGGAAACGTTATTTAAACATGGGAAAACTAAAATGTTTGTTTTCATGTGACTTTTTTTTTCCAGACCTTCTGCGAGAATAACTTTTCATTTTATGGTATACTACTGACAACAGCATGAATAATACAATCGCTTGTTGGTTACTCAGCTTTGGCCGATCTCACTGAAACACCCAGAGCTCAGATTTCTGTCTGATGTCTGATGACTTTGTCCCCTCATGAACCCAAATTCAACCGAGTTGTAAAGTTGAACAGGAGAGAAAAAAAAAAAAGAATAAAAAGTTCTTGTGTTTATAACTCGGCACCGTCGGTGATGCTCAAGAGTCCAGGTTCCTGCAGTGTGACGGCGAACGCCGCGGCGTCGTTTATCTGTACATGCGAAAGTTTTCAGTCCATCGACCGGACGTTACGTGAAGATCTGCAGACAGCACGACGGCCACGGATCCACAGCTCACACACAGCAGCTTCCTCTGTCACTGTTTGTATTTACAGCTCTGTACACTGAAAAATGACTTCACGGCAAAAAAAAACCTCAAAATGAACAGAACTGAAAAAGTTCTCAACAGCAACTTCGACGGTTGGAAAACAGCTGCGTTTCTGCAAACGTCTTAACGTTGACGATGAGCTGCTCCCGATGAAGACGAGCCCCGTTGATTTGACGCAACTCGGCCCGAAAGTGTGTTTCCCCCGGAGGCTGCGGAGTCGACAGGGAAAATTAAAAACGAAAAAAGGAAATCAAACTAATCCAAATCCAAAAACGAACCTCAGGATAGATAGCGTTACACAGTATACTTAAGTAGGATTTACAAGAAGTTCTTTCCCTCCTCCCACCGAAGGTGTTTTTTCTTTTTCTGTTCCAACACAGCGACAAAGCCTAAAGCAACGCACAAAAATCCAACTCAAATACGTGAGTAGCTAAATAGTTTCCCATTAAATTATCACAACGATGTGGTGTAGTTTACATTCCTCCGCAGCTGCAGGAGCCGCGTGTTTTCTTCAATCGACTTTAATTAATTCTATTTTACATTTGATTGGTTTCTAGAGGTGGGTGGCGGTGGAGGTGGCAGTGGGCGAGGTGGGCGGGGTCTAAAGCCTTGTACAGTGGATGCAGTTATAAAAAGGACGAAGGGGAGTCGGTGCTGCGGCACAGCGAGTAATAGGCACAAGGGGGCGGCAGTGAGGAGGTGGGACGGGTGGTGGCGAGCAGCAACAGGGAATGAGCGGGAGCGTAGGGAGGTTGTTGTTGGGGGTGGGGGGATGTTTAAGGTGGAGAGCTGCGCCCTCACAGGTAGATCTCCCTCTTGGAGGTCTGGCCGGTCGGGGTGGTGGCCGAGTGGTACTCCACCGCCTGGCTCAGCGGGATCTCCTCCAGCCCACAGTCTTTCACAGACGAGTCTCCGCCTCCAGGGTAGGCACTGCTGTAGGGTGTCATGAATCGCATGTTGGACACTTTGGAGCTGCTGCCACCGCCCCCGCTGCCGCCACCGCCACCGCCGCCGCCGCCACCCGTGCCGCGCTCCTCCATCATCAAGGGCTTGGGGCTGCCGTTGGCCATCAGCTGCTCCTGCCCGTCCATCTCCTGGTAAGGCACAAAGGTGGAGAGCTTCGGAGCGTTCTTGGACACCTTGCGGTTCGGGGAGGGCTGTCCGGGCATCCAGCAGGAGTCAGAGTGGCCGAACTCGGTGCACTCGCGGGTGCAGTTACCGGTCATCGCCACGTCGGGGAGGGGCCTGAGGTCTACGGAGAGAGAGAGAGAGACAGAGAGAGAGAGAGGATAAGTAACCTGGAAGCAACAGCAGAAGATGGGTAAAGGTGGATATGGCGATGAAGCTCTCCCGACACGTTTGTGTCCGGCGTTCCCGCTCTTTCTTTCAGCTCTGTGTTTGGTCTCCAGCTCCTGAGGGAAACATCCAGCTCTTTAGCTGCTGAATGAAACCAAAAACCAAACATGGACAAAACCAAAATGAGGAGCTAAAAGAGGCTGAAAAACCCTCTGTGATCAGATGAGAAGAGAAAGGTCGAGTCGTCCTGTAGAATTACGATAGAAAACCTCATACTTACTATAATATTATTATATTTCAGGTCTGATCTCAGAACCAGCTACTGTGCATTGCTTTTTTTAAATCTTATTATTTGACTTTAATATGATGAACTTTAGTTGCTTGTTAGTTTGTTTCTTATTAGATCTGTGTTCCTCCATTTATATACGGACGTCTGCGTTTGTGTGCGACGCTTTGCAGAACAGTTTTCCTTCGAGATAATCGGGTCAGGAATTAAAGTTGACGGCAAACAGACCTGTATTTGACAGGTGAAGGTTCTTCACTCTCAAACACTGGTATTTTTCTGTGTGTAAAGATTTCTGTGTAAATGTCGCTTTTGTTGCTTTAAAAAAAAAAAAAACAACCAACAAACCTGCGAGTGTCACAGTTCAGCTGCGCGCTGATTAAAACTGTCATTATCCCTTTAGCCGCACACACGCGCGCACACACCAGGCTCGCTCCATTTGAAGGAAATTAATTAAAGCTCTGTGTGTATTTTTAAAGTCACTAATAGTTCACAAAGTGCCAGAAACGTCGCTTAATTTGTTGCTGAAAGAGCGAGACCACGTATGAAACGGTGGGTGCTGAGCATGAAACAGGATCAGCTGATTTAAAGGAGGAGAGAAAAACGCTCAGGTTCGTTAAAACGTTAATTATGTTGCACAAACAGCCAATTAAGGCAAAAAAATAACAACAGAGTGACTGTGTTTTTTTGTTGTTTTTTTTTTCCTTTCACCTGTGAAATATGACACGATGAGAGACGACAGACGCAGAAGATGTTTCTTCAGAGCTGTGAATATTAAGGTCACAGTTTCTCACCTCTGGCTTCTTTCTTTCACTTTCTCCTTTTCTTGTGTTGGCTCTGTGTGAGTTTAACTTTAATCCTGAGCCTGTGAGACGGGCGGACGGACGGACGGACGCAGGGCTGAGTTCGCATTTTAAAAATAAAAAAATAAAAAATTCCCAGCTTAGAATGGAAAAAGGTCAGAGATGGAAGCAGAAATATCAATGCGTATGCAGAAAGTAACCTTTCTTCTGTGCGTGACATTAGATCATTCTTTGATACTGGAGGCAGGGAGGGGGAGGGGCGGAGGGGGTGCCGGTCCTCCCGGGGAATGGCGCTTATTTCCCAAAATGCCCTCTGCTTCATGCATAATTGAAATTCATTGCCTCCTTTTTTTTTTTTTTGTGCAAAAGGAGCTACAGTCGGCTTTTCTGTCTGTTTGCGGGTTGATGTGAACGTTTTAATCCCGGGGAGTGCTGAGTAGCGACCGCGCTCCATCTCTCCCTCCCCACATTCTCACGGCCGCCGTGGATTTTAGTTTTTAAACACTTCCCATGCAAAAAGCAAGGTGCTTGCAAAAAAAAAATGTTAAGTCATGTGAGAGCGGCTGCTGAGTTCAGAGCGGCGGTTTAATAAGTGCTTTGCCGTCTGAACGTCGTGTCAGCAGGAGGCTTATAGAGCACGGACGGGCCAGAGCCGCTCGGCTGAACAGACTCCAAACTTGACTCACTTCAACAACAACGGGAGGAAGGAGGGACTCGGCCGCCAAGTTCAGCTGGACCTCAGCCTGCTGTTGGACGACAACCAAGACTCTTTGACCCCTGACTTTGTGTCTATAAATACTGCTCGGGCATTTCTTCATCCGATTCCACCAGCAGTTGGTTTCAGTTGAACCCTGTTACTATGGAAACCCCCTCCGGGCCGTGGATACAGTGTTCAGTGTAACTGTTAATTTACTGTCAGGGTGACTGCTGTGTGTTTTACTCTTTCTACTTTTACTCTTGTGGATTAGTTACTGTGTGGTTAAGTAATTTGTTTTTAGTGTTTTATGCATTTGCTTCCAATCAACACTTCAAACGCCAAGGAGAGAGAGAGACAGAGAGAGAGAGAGAGAGAGAGAGAGAGAGAGAGAGAGGGGGAAGACGTGCCACGCTTTAACCCTTCAGCTACCAGGACGAATCTTGACAGTCTGTCCCAAACTACCCGACATCGACAGTTAAGACCCACTTCACACCCTGATCTTCAGGCCCTGTGGTTCCTGCTTGTGAACCTTCAGCTCATTTCTTCCTCATGTGTCTGAATTTAAAGGAAACAAAACCTTCTCATTCTGAGAGACACTTACTCTTAAACTGTGTCATGTCAACACTGTTTTTGTGTGTGTGTGTGTGTGTGTGTGTTCACCTTCCTAAGCTCAGCTACAGATGTTCCTCGTGGAAGACTCACCACTTTGTCACTTTCGAGCTCCCTGACACTCGTCAGAGTGGAGCGTCTTCCTCAGGGGAGCCATCTTTGAACAGGTGATGTTTACGAGTACAAGAGGAGATAAACAGGAAGCTGCGCCGTCTGTTCAATCACGCCGGTTGTAGTGTAATTGTTGCTTCTGCACAACCTGTCTCAGCTCAAATTAAAGCCTGCGAGTCGTGTCAGACATATGTCACGTACTCACACTACGACTGTACAAAAGTCATAAATAAGAAATAGGAAAGAAATGGAGAGATAATGTAATAAAATGAACGTACGTCATGTCTAGTGCTTTTATTTTTGCTTCTACTCTGAGGTTGTTTTTTCTCTCGATTGGTCTAAAGTTGCTGTCAACACACTTTCCCTCACACTTCACTGCAGATATTTCACATTTAAAAACTTCTAATGGCTCAAAGGCCGTAACCCTCCTTTCCCTGGTGGAACATCTGCAGGTACAGGTGAGCTTCCTCAACAGCAACGTAACGCTGACGTCAAAATTAGAAAGTAGAAGCAACTGGGATTTAAAACAGTATTTGTGTTAAAAAATGGGGCCAATTAGAGGGCTTTTATTGTGAAACATCTGTGCACACTACAGCAGGAAGTGTGGTCTCATTGACGGTAACTTCACAGAGATTTAAAACATTGCAAAACTAGAAGTGACAGGCATGAAATGTGAGAGTGGTGACGGTCTTTCTGCACCGCAGCGGGGGAGCGGTGAGTACGGCGTCATCCCCTCTGTAGTACCGAATCAGCGCCGCGTCGCTCGACATGATGCTGAATTCACAGAGAAAAACAGGTGAACACGGAGGAGGTGCTGAGTTTACACAAAGAGCAAAGAGTGTCAAATTAAAACCAGAGGAAGTTACGAAACAGGAACATGTTTAAAGTCGAGTGAATAAAAGTCTGTGAGTGACATGAGCCTCAAACGACGCTGTTGTGTATTTATGTCAGTAGTTCTTGTGTGTTTTTGTGTATTTACTGAACATGTATGAACACAATCTAAAAAATAAAACTCCTCCATATGCATTTAACAATAACTTGTGGGGGCCAGGAAGAGCGCGACCCCCGTGTTCAGGCCCTTGGCACAACGATCTGTAGCTCTAATCACAGACTTTAGCGCCGGGGTGACGCTGGTCGTGTTCGACCTTATTAAAGCACAAGAGCTAATTGGCTCCGATTTGAGATGGAGCTAATTGGCGAGCACGACGGGGAGGAAGGTTTCAGGGCGGTTGGGGGCGGGTTCACGTGTGAGATCAATAACGGTTTCAGCTAATAAGGCCTTACCCTGGTGGTGGACATTGATGTTACCACTCACCTCCAGCTCAGATCGACACCATCATCAGAGCTGTTATGAAGGCTGATCAGACACTGCTGACTCAGCTGTTATCCCCGACTCTCACAGGGAAGAAGTAGCTCTGGTATTACTGATGGCTGACGGCCCAAAATCTTTTCAACTTGCCCCCCACCCCCCCCCGCACCGTCTTGGCTGTTTGTTACATCTCTATTTCTGCTTCACTAATCGTGATCGACAGCACCGCCGCCAAACCCCTGGAAGTCTCCGCAAGTGGTTGATTTTAGTATCGCCTCCTGAGCGCTGCCAACATTCAGCTCCAGCCACTCATCTGTGATCGCCATTTTGTTAGAAGTGCGATAAGTTACGACCTGTTTGGGAGAGAGGGGGAGGGGAAGGAGGCGAGGGGCGACGTGAAGGGAAGTGGGGGGGGCGGGGGGGAGGGTCGGGGGATGGGCGGGGGGGGTACCGGAAAAAGAAAGGGGAAGGGAGGGGGGAGGGGGGGTGCAGAGGTCAGAAACTCTACCTACACCAAACATTACCCAAGTCAGCCGGCGTGTTCTGGTTCCGATGGTGCAACAAGTACCACGAATATTACCCAACGTCGACCGGCGTGTCCTGGTCTCCGATGGTGCAACAAGCTACCAGATGATTCCACAGAGGTTTCAGAGAGCCCCTCCTCTCCTCACACCGCTAACGCCCTAACGTGTCTGACCAGCGCTCACGCCGCACTTCTCACTGCACTTCTTCACTTGATCTCGCTGCACTTATTAAATAGATATATCACTTAGTAATCATGCCAACGTCTCCTTCTGCACCGAGGCTTTAGTGATGTCCCTCACTCGTAAGTCACTTTGGATAAAAGCATCTGCCGAATGAGCAAATGAGAATCTTCCTCTAACCTCAACCCTGCTGTTTCTTACCATGAACAGATTTCACTGAAAAGATTTGGCATTGGACTTGAATGAATATGAATATGAAAATCCAATATCAGTCTTCTTGTTTGACTGTAGAGTTTGACAGTGAACTAAACTACACCTATAAAAAAGGGTTTCTGTCATTGGTGTGTTTCCTGTCGAGCTCTACGCTGGTTGGTGTGATGAACTGTTGTTGTCGCATCGACCACAGGGAGCTACACGGCGGCAGCGTTGTGACTTCAGAT